CATTTCTGGAAGTCTGGCTGGGGACGTTTATTTGAACGTCACAAAGCATGTAAATATTTCCAATGAAGATTTGCTTTTCGCCCGTCATGCATTACCATGGTTTGAATGCCATGACCCAAGTGAGAAGACACAGTCTGATATCATGTCTCTCCTCTCCAGTGAAACCCCTTGTTATCTGTGTTTGTCTTTTCTCACACCAGAAGTACCTTTTTTCTAGATTTTCTTCAGTTTTGTTACAGTTATTTATGCAGGAACGTCCACTGAGAGGTCTTTGCTCAGAGAAAGGTCCTATGCTGGAACATTTCTTGAGGTTCACTCTGGAAGTTGTCCTTAAACACCTCATTCAAGATCACAGCGGTAGCGGTCAGAAGAAAATTTCATGGTTTTGTGAACATGAGCTAGCATGTCACTCTTTCTGCGAGTGCAATGCCAACATATCTGCCTGGCCTTGTCAGGCAGAACGAGACGTGACTATTACATGTGATTAATGTGACACCTCTAACTAAGAACAGATGCAGTCTACTGAAAGAGGTCAACTGCAACTCCATATTTTGAATGTGATCACCAATATGTTGCATGTCCTTATTTCTGCTTCTTAAGTAGTCTCGGGTGGCCAGACGTGATCTTGTGACCAAAATATATGTCTGCAGACGACTCATTAAACCTTTGGTGCTGGATTGCAGTGAAATCCATCGCCCTTTAAAAACTCACTCAACTCCTCGAGCCCCTGCTCTTTTAATGTCCGGAGTACAATCAATAACATTAGCAAAACAGGTTAGCTAATGAAATGCTATCATTAGCTAATGGAACTGTTTTCCCTTTGTTTTTCCCTTGTTTATTTTAATGTGTATTTTTATTTATTTTTTACCACATGTCCTCTGGACACATATCAACATGCTTAACTGCAATTGGTTCCACTATATATTTATCTTTCACTGTGTAGTTGCATATGATCAATGCTTGCAACAATAATGTAACTACTGGTGAGATATTGCCTATTACTGTTGAATTACAGTGGAATAGCTTATATCAACTTCACATATATTAACTTTAGTTTTTATTCTCAAGTGCACTAGCTGTATCTTGATAGTTGTAAAAGCATTTTCTCTTATGTAATTACAGCTGTGTAATAGTATGAACTGTTTTTTTTCCAGCAAGATTTTTCTTTTTTTCCATTTTCAAAAAAAAGCTGGGACAGAATGTGAAATGCTGTATAAATTGTCCTGTACTAAATTATAAACACACACACACACATACACACACACACACACACACACACATTAATGGTACTTTCACAGATGTATTGTTAATGTGTTGTGATGTGTAAGTTACCCATGCCATAGGCACTAAAACACCGCAAATCCTGGCTTTTGAACTTTACACTGGTATGATTCAGTATGATTCTTTACTTCTTTTGGCTCAGAGAACACAACATCCATTATTTCCATAAACAATCTGAAAGGATGACTCGTCAGGCAGCAACACACCACATTAGTCCATTTCACATGAGCTCAGAGAAGTTGTCAGCATTTCTGGATGTTGGTGACATGGGTTCCACTGTGCATAGAACAGTCTTAACTTGCATTTGTGGATGCAGTGAGAGTTTATTAGCATTAAGCATTCCTGCCTTTTATTCTTAGAGATTTCACTGGTTCCTCTGAATCTTTTGATGATATTGTACGCTGTAGGAACATTGTTCTTAAGCAGTTGGACTACTTACTGATGCGTTTTTGGCATAGTGGCAAGCCTTGACTTACCCTTGGCCAAGGACTAGGCCTTTATACCCAAGCATGATTACATCACATTATCTACATTCCAGGTCTTAAATTGGCCAGTGCCAACTTTTTTGGAATGTGTTGCAGACATCAGTTTCAAAATGAGTGCATATTTACCAAAAAACAAGGAAGTTGATAAGAAAATATCTTGTCTTGGCACTGATTTTATTTAAATATATGTCAAAGTGGATTTACAAATCACTGCTTTCTGTTTTTATTTTCATTTCACAAACTACCCCAACTTTTTTGGAATTGAGTTTGTACGTTATGAGAGTATTTACACTGCATCTATACAGGAAATGCCAACTTTCCTAATGTTTAGCTAGTAGCACAGCTAGAGCACATTTTTAAAAGGAAATTTTATATAATCAATTAAAATGTATTATATTACTTCAGATGCAATGTCTAGATCAGCAGTCTGTAACTACCATGTCCACTGTTATCTATAACTGTCACTACACATACATAGCAACTGCACAGGAACTGTCCACTGTAAAGTGTAGCTTTTTTATAGTTACTGTGGAATATCTGTGTAACATGGTGACCTGAAATCAAATCACACGAGTTAATACCAATCTATAATTTCCCAGTTCCCTCATATTACAGAATGTTTTAAAGCCAGAACTTTGGTTAGGTTGCAGTGTCCTTGATTCATCAAAGTTGTGTACGGTCAAATCTGATTTGTGTGCACACAAATTTTTACTGGATTGTTGGCATGTCTGAATGATCAAACTCAGGTCTGGTGGGAGTGTGTGTAAATCTGAGTGTAATGGTATAAAAACCTGGAAAAAAAAATGTTGGGGATGACGGTAGGGAGGAGAGGTTACGCCTGAAGTCCACCACCATCTCTGCAGTCTTTTACGTGTTCAACAGCAGGTGGTTGCTGCTTGACTTCCTTTCTGTATGCAGACTCGTCACCATTGGCTAAGGCCCACCACAGTGGTGTCATGTGCAAACTTCAGGATCTTCCCAGCTTGGTTCCTTGGAGACGCAGCCTTTGGTGTAGAGATTAAATACAAAGGATGAGAGCATGCAACCTTGTGGAACTCCAGTACTAGGTTCCGGGGGTCTGACGTGTTTTCCAAGCCACACCTGCTGTCTCCTGTTTGTCAGGAACTCCACGATCCACGATCCACCGGCAGACGGGAGTGACTTGCAGTAACTCTGACACCACGGTTTTGAAAGCCCAGCTGAAGTCCACAAACAGAGGTTCCAAGACGGTCAAGATGCTGTACAATAAAGTGCTGGGCCAAGTTGACTGCATCTTCAACAGACCTGTTAGCTCTGTATGCAAACTGCAGGGTATCCAGTCGAGGGTTTGAAGTGACCTTCAGGCAGGCTAGGATTAGGCGTTCAAAAAACTTCATGACTGCTAATGTCAGGGCTACTGGCCTGTAGTCATTTAGTCCAGTAAAGTTCATTGTTTGGGGACTGGAATGATGGTAGATGTTTTGAATATGTTGCATATGTTTGCATATGGGAGTAGAGCAAAGTTCCATTGATTTGTTAAACATGTTTGTGAAAATTGGAGCTAGTTGATCACAGCAGTACTTTAGAGTGGATGGACAGACCAAGTCTGGCCCTGGGTCTTTTTTTCACTTGTTTTTCACTGTTTTGTCTTCCGATTAGACTGTTGGCATCCTGCTCATTGGTGTTGAGATGAGTAGGGGGCAGAGGTGAGAGAGCCAGGGTCAGGGTGGAGAGCAGAGAAATGGGAGACAGACATCCATCTGTCTTGGTAAAAGGCATTTTCAGCTACTACCATGGTGAATCTGTTAATCACCAAAGTACTGAAGTATCATTTACAAACAAAACCCACTGTCGATGCCAGCAATACCAGCAGACTACACTGAATGGCTTTTTTTATGTCTGACAATTTTGGTGAGTGCTCCTCTACTTTAAGCTCCACCTTCATGAGGCGATGGATCGGTTTAGAAGTTTCACACTCAGTTTATTCTCACGCTAATAAGTCTACATTTCCACCAACCATTTAGCTGGACATTTCTCATGGTAGTCCCCAGACGTTCTTGTTACAAGACATATGGCTCTGCAGAACTACTTCCTAAGCAGTTGTTTAGTCTAACATAAGACAGTTTTGATTTGAAGTCATGTATATTTTCTGCTGAGCTAAAACTGCATTCTTCTCATTTGCAGCACAGTTTCAATCAAACAAACTAAACATTTCTTGCCATTTCAGATGTGTCACATGTTTTCATTTCCCTGTCTCTTTCCTCTTATTTTCTTTAAGCTGAACTAGTATGGACTTTTCTCTGAGGATTGATGACCACGTTTTTGTTTTTGTCCAGTCAGAAATGAGTTTTCCTCAAGACGGTCATGGTTCAACTCCAGCTGAAAATCCCTTTGGTGGAAAAGTCTCTGCTGAGTTCCAGCAGCAGATGGAAATAAAGCAAAGCTCACTTGAATTCCCTCAGTGATATTCTCTGATATTCTTGCATCACCTCCGCTGACCCTTGCTTTTCAATATCTGCCAATTCTTTACACAAAACCTTCTCCTACATCTGGAATTCTTATCATACGTGTGATGTAATAAAAAATAAAGCACAGAAAATAATTTATGAAAGCTCCATAAGTCCCTGTTAAATGAGCATCTATCCAAGCATTTACTATCTCACAAGTAGTTGTATTGAATGCATTACCTGTTTACCGGGTTGAACACTTAATATACTATGTAAATGATGGCTTTCTGCTTTGTCATCTTTTGCAACCTTAAAGTTTTAGTTTTATTTCTTTTCATTCATCTAACATTTGTTCTGAAATCAAGGGTATTAACGTGGAGTTTATCCCTCCTCTTCTGGGAAGGTTTTGCATTAGATGTTGGAACTTTGCTGTCAGGATTTGATTGCATTCAGCCACAAAAGTATTAGTGAGGTCGGATACTGATGTTGACTTTGGATCATAAACACCACTTCAGCTCATCCTGAAGTTACTGGATGGAATTCCATCACTCCAGAGAACACAGTTCCACTGCTTCCCAGCCCAATGCCCAATGCCATAATACCCCTCTAGCCAACGCTTTGCATTGCACATGTTGACCTTAGGCTTTTCTATGGAGATTATACAAGTGTGCGCTATTGAATGTCAGCAATCTGTGCACCTTAAAGTATAAATTACTTAGAAAGTGTGACTATAAGCTTTTGGTATCGATTGCCTATGTAAATCCCCTCATATACAATCTGTTAAAGTGTGGTATTTGTATCTCTCTAGGTGAGCTTCTGGTTGGTGAGAGAAATCCTCACAGCTCAGACACTGAAGATCCGTGCTGAAATCCTGACCCACTTTGTAAAAATCGCAAAGGTACTGTCAGTGACATTTTGCAGATATTTTGTCAAAAACTTCCTTTCACTTTTCTTTCTTCTCTGTTATGTATGTATATGTTAAGGTATAGGTTTGTATACCTATGGTACACTGCAGTAGAGTTAATTTTTAGTGTCACACATGACCGAGGGCTGTTAACCAGCCCAGTTTCTTTATCTGCATGTAGAGAAATCCCACGAATGAATAGCCTAAATAAAATAATAACAATCACTTAATAGTTAGCATATATAAGTAATATACAGCATAATGAGGAAAATTAACTAACTAATTCTATATGGTGAAGAATAGGCAAATTGCATTCATTTAGGCTACTGAAATGGCCCAGCCTTCAGACAGTCAGACAGCCACAGCTGTGGAAAGTGCTCTTTATGAAGGCAATTACACAACAATAAAGCCAACTAAATGAATATTTGGCATGTGGCAGTCATATTCAATCATAACTAATGCAGATGAAAACCAGCTATCTATAGGGCAGCATTTGCTGCTATGACTTCACAACAATAGCCCTGTCATTCACATACAGCTTTTCCATCCTGTTCCATTGATGGCTCTCTCCATAAAAGTTATTTCCAGCTATTGTCATGCCATGAATTTGTGAATCATTAAAGTACATTCAGTCTGAAGCATCATTTACAAGCAAAACACCACCAATGCCAGCAATACCAGCAGACTATATTAGGCAGTGCATGTGGGAGACCTAGGAATAAAACAATGAGCAGCAAACTACAGTACTAAGCTTTAGGGCCGCCACTGTAACAAGAAGCCCTGTCATTAACAGCTCATTAACTTATATATATAGCAAATTACACAAATGTCATTATCACAGTTAACATAACAAAAAATGTGATTAATCATGAGCCTTAGTAAGGTTAAGATGTAACTAGGAAGTTATGAAGTATAATTTCCATAGAGTTAACCTGAGTTATCTGAGGTAATCTGTTTAGATCAGTCAAGTCAAATCAAGTTGTGGCTTTTTCTATGTGTTTGTGAATTTCATCTATTATAATTTTTGATGTAAGTATTGTAAATAAGGACAAGCTCAATTTTCATATGTTCTGGCTTTGAAAGTAATTGCTCTTACATTCGAATTCCACAAAAAATGGTCAACAAACATGTCTTTATATTGGCTGTGGGTTTTATGCCTTAATATTTTTTGTTTCATTATTTTCTTGACTGTATATGAACAAATATTATGGGTCCAAGTTAGAAAAAACGTTAGGATGGTATTACTTTATGGCAAACACTTGAAGAAGAGTTTTTGGTGATTCTTATTAGTGCTTGCTGTGTGAATGCTCCCCTACCTTGATTTAAATTGCAAGTGCAGTGTTTCCCAGCGCCAGTCCTAGAGGCCCACTTGCACTGCACAGTTTTGTGTTTTCCCTGCACCTGTCTCTTATCATTAGTCCTTCTTCAGCTGAATCATCGTTAGAGCAGGGAAAACATAAATCTGTAGTGCAGTTTGGCCTCCAGGACTGCATTTGGGAAACAGTGAGCTAATATACTGTAGCCTGTTATTATACTGGCATAACTTCGAGGTTGTAAATTTTTTTTTTTAAAGTAGTGCAGTTCTGTTTTCCAGGTTTTGCACCTTCATTGCTTTGGTAGAGGAACATGCAGTACTCTGCTCAAAGTTAGTAATCACACTTCATTTCATTAATTTCCAGTCAAATCAGCAATTGAGTACAAGCTATTTATTTTTTAGGAGACATTTCTGATGAGAATAGATCAGAAATAATCCATTTGCATAAGGATGAAGAGAAGAAAATAAGTGGAAAAAACAGAGTTTCTAAGAGTGGAATTTAAAAACTGATTAAAATGTATAGAGAAAATGGGACTCCTAATAACTATGCAAGACCTAGTACACCACCAAAACTGTCACAATTAGATAAGGAGTACTTCAAGCCTTCATTCTTGAGAGAAAACAAAGCTCCAATCTTGCTTTAGATCTGAAAATATGGTAATATAACCAACTTCTAAGACTGAACTTGGGAGGTGTAAAAAAAATACCCCTGCAGGTTTCTTTGAAACACTGATAATAAGTCTCCTGAAATGTATAAAAAACAGGGTGAACACATAAAATACTGAAAAAGGTGTTGTGTTTAGTTGTTGAGTGGAAATGTTCTATTAAATCTATTCAATTAAATCTGTTTTCTGCTTTTCTTCCTGACAATGAAAAATAAATAACTTACTTAGTTTTGACTGGAATTGAAATAAATGAAGTATAGACTTTTTTACAGTATTGTATTTCATAGGAAAATCATAGGTGGGGTTTGAAATTAACCAGGCCTCAGGATCAAAACACTCCCAAAAGTTAAAAATGTTCCAAATATTTTAAATGAGGGGAAAAAACATGGCCCTCATGATGAATCTCATTTCATAATTGTGACTCATCTTGTGTGTAGAAGAAAGTTTCTCATAAATCTTAATCAAATCTGAAAATTAAATCCAGAGGGTGTCAATTGCCCCTTAAAATGTAAATTCCAGGCATTTAACACAAGAGACTGTTTTTGCCTAGTCGTGCTTTTTATGCAGAGTTCTATGGTTTGATTTACTGTTTATCTGCAGAAACTGCTGGAGCTGAACAACCTTCACTCTCTGGTGTCTGTAGTCTCGGCTCTGCAGAGTGCTCCCATCTTCAGACTGAGCAAGACCTGGGCGGTAAGACACACACGGTCATATAACATTTAACTTCTGTAGTATGTCTGTGTATGGTCTGTAATCCTCCATCCCCACACTTTTTAAAGGTTCAGTTTAACACAAACACAAATTAGCTAAAAATTCTACTCTGCACCTGAATTGTTTTTTTTGGTAGTCAGAAGTCTTTGATTGGCTTTCGTAAGTGTATGAATACATGCTGTGCTACTGCTTATCAGGCCATAGTTTTGTTTCACCAATGATGTCACTGACATTTTGTCTTGGAAGTCTTTTTGTTGTTACCCATGCTGGACTGGAGAACATGTGTGTGCAGCGAAAAGATGTTCTGTTATGCATCCAAAAATCCATTTTACCATTTGCTGTGCTCTACACTGTAAAAACGGTTCATCAGTTCAATCTAAAAGAAAACTTCATGTGATAACAAGTCATAAAGGGGGCTCCTGAGTGGTGCAACCCGAGCGTTGATCCTGTCATCGGGGGATCGCAAGTTTGATCCCTGGTGATGCTACAGCCATCTGTGGCCGGAAGTCCAAGAGAGCACAATTGGCCTCGCTCTGTCTGGGAGTTTATGATGGCCCTCCCGTCTCCCCCAGTCACCCAATGCGATGCTAGTCAGTGCAGGCATCTGTTAGCTGATGCAACAGAACTGTCAGTTGGCGCTTTCCTCAAAATGCGTTCACAGCGAAAACATGCAGTGGCGTTTCACAGGTGTAGTAGAAGGAAGCCTGTGCTAGCCTTCGTCCTCCTAGCACTGGTGGTATCCTGTGATTGAAGGGGAGTCCTAACTAGTGGGTGGAATTAGATACTGTAAAACTGGGGAGAAAATCGGGAAAAAAAACGATCTAAGTAGTTGTGTTCAAGTCAAATAAACAATTTCATTCAAAGTATTTATTTGCATAAATAAAACTAGTTGAGTTGAGACATGTGCCAGTATTTGGTAATTTGGTATACTGTGGTATTAAACACTTTAAAATACTGCCACTTTGAGTCAAACAAGTTGAGGTCTTCACCGGCGATTTTTAGAAGTGCAAGCAGCTCTGCTTTTACAAGCTCCCACTCTGGTCTCACGCTTGCTTGAAATCTCTTATTCTGCTAGTAGAAACAGTCATGGGTGTTTTTTGATTAACAGAGGCTGCATGTACATTATGAAATGATACAACCCTATTTCCAAAAAAGCTGGGACGCTGCGCAGAATGTAAATAAAAATAGAATGCAATGAAATGCAAATCATGTAAACCATATTTTTAAGGAAAATACTACAAAGACAGCATTTAAAATGTTGAAACAGAGAAATTTTATTGTTTTTTGAAAAATATATGCCCATTTTGAATTTGATGCCAACAACACGTTCCAAAAAAGTTGGGACAGAGGCATGTTTACCACTGTGTTTCATCACCTCTTCTTTTAACAACACTCTGTAAGTGTTTGGGAACTGAGGAGATCGACTGCTGTAGTTTTGAAAGTGAAATGTTTTCTCATTCTTGTTTGATATAAGATTTCAGCTGCTCAACAGTTCAGGGGCTCATTTGACATATTTTTTGCTTCTTAATGTTCCAAATACTTTCAGTGGGTGACAGGTCTGGACTGTAGCCAGGTCAGTTTAGCACCCGGACTCTTTTAATGTGGAGCAATGCTGTTGTAATACATGCAGAATGTGGTTCAGCATTGTCTTGCTGAAATAAGACGTCATCTGGATGGCAGCATATGTTTCCAAAACATGTATATATCATGCAGCATTAATGGTGCCTTCACAGATGTGCCAGTCACCCATGCCATGTGCACTGATGCCCCCCATACCATCATGAATACTGGCTTTTGAACTGTGTCCATGATTTCCAAAATTAATTTCAATTTTTGATTTGTTGGACCACAGAACACTTTTCCACTTCCCCTCAGTCCATTTTAAATGAGCTGCGGCCACACAGAGGTGATCACAGAGTGGTGAACCCCTCCCCATCTTTACTTCTGAAAGACTCACCATTGACACTCCCAAAAAATGCTTCCAGAAAAATCACAATAGCACTGTGCTTTTGACAGTTGAAGCTAAACATGTTGTTTCTGTTGAAGGGGACACTGTAAATAGGCTTGTTTCACGTGTTTAGCAGTGGAAATGTGGCTTTGTCGAAGTGTGGATTGAAGTCCTACGGTAGTTTTCTTTTTTTACAGATGCTACTCAGCGATTTTCCTTGCCATTTTTCTTACCATGTCTGTGTTTTCCCTCTTTTCCCTGAGAAAATTACAGGCCACATTACCTACTGCTTTTCACCAAACTCAGAGGTGGTCACATGTCACCTTGCATTGGAAAAGAGTTTTTTGACTGCTGCTACTCACCATATTCAGGCTTCTATCCATAATACAAACTTTCTGCTTTCCGTGTCACAAAACGATATACGTTTTGGAAAAGTCTCACCACCATTTCTTTGTTGTGGATGGTAGACTTTCTTCGTCCTTTTAGAAAGAGAAACAATCAATCAGAAAATGGCCACATTCTTTAAATAATGACCACAATCTTATAATGACGTGATGCAAACAAAAAAAATGGGTTTGTAGAAAATATAAGCCAGTAGAAACTCACTCATCCTGTGATAATTTAGTTGCCATCCTGGTGTTGAGGAGTGTGAGCTAATAGAAAGTAACAAAGCAGTCTGTGGTATCTTCATCCTGAAGGAACAAATTCTCCTCAGACAGCATAATCACTTGTTGCTCAGAGCTATAAAATTAATAAAAATAGTAAACCAGCTTGCATGAGCTGTTTACTGGACTGTATGTTTCCTTTAAATTCATAGCACACCAGGGCTATTGATAGTTTTAGTGTGATTTTTATTTTTCACCAAGCAAGAGTGTTTAGTTTTTATATAATTCAGAAAGATTGTTCCACAAGGGCTCTACAGTAAAGGCAATAGTTCTGTGTAGTTTTGTCTTCGCCTGGTAAGATGGTTCTTCAAATTGGTGGAGCATGTGTTGTATATGGTCCCATATAGAACCTCTTTGAAAAAGGTTCTGTATAGCACCAAAAAGGGTTCCTCTGTTAATAGAAGCTTGACAGCATAATAGTAGCAGAACCATTTATAGCAGAACCCTAAAACAATAGCAGAACCCTTGAAGCACCACTTTTTTAAATGTGTTATTATGATGAAAGCTGTGATTTAGTAGGTATTTGACAAGGGTAGGATAGTTAAAAATGCATGCATGCATATAAACTACTTATTATATTTCCAAAACACAATTTTATTTCACTGTACATACTGACAAGAGCTGTGTGCATCAAAACAATGTTAGATACAAACTCCAGTGTACTAGAAAATTACATTAGGTAACATGACAGTTAGTTCCAGGACAGTTTAGCTAAATTATACTGAAATGCCACACATGCTCTAGCTGTTAAGCTGATAAAGGACGTAGTAAAATACACCATAAATATTTGGAGTGACAAGCTAAGCATAACCACACACTAAATTTTTATTTATAGGTAATGAACAGCTGCAACTTTATTTGTGTACAATCTTCTTATGCAGTAAAACTACGTGGTGCTGTGGAGTTTACGAAACATACTTACTCAGTATCTAGAATCTGTTTGGCATTTCAGTGTAATTGAGTTTACTTACCGATATGTTACACATACTTGGTTAATACCTAGAACTTAAGGGACGGTAAAAGATTTTTTACCCAAAAGTCATTTTAAAAAATCTTTTAAAAATAGACGCAATGGCAGCATTTAGAGATCATTTTGCTTAATACGAATAGTAAATAACAAAGCAAAAGTAGCTGCTTTTTCCCATTGCGTAAAGAAGTTAGAGTTTCTTTCTCTCCCTTGTGCCTAAAGCCACTGTGGTCTTAAATAACAGTAGCAAAACCGCTGAGGAGATCTTCATGTGGAATCCCAGGACAAATTTTACACACACACGCACAAATTATTATGAAAAGCACGTTTCAAAGCTGAGTCCAAAGACACCATCTGAAGTCAGAAGAAAAACGTGCTGTGCAGTATATTGCTCCCTCCAGGCCACATGCAGGGGCTGTGAAGTGTTTTAAAGGCTGAGACCCATACGTGGCGTCACTGTAGGGTCAGTGCTGATATGTGTCCTTGTCTTTTTACCGCAGCTCCTGGCCTCTTTTTCCATGTCCCCAGATGACCGTTTTCTCCACCAATTATGACATGCACACAGCAAAGGCTGATGATAGTATTTCCAGCACTTATTTTCAGTAAAACACACTCACACACATGCACACATGCTGTGTGCAAAAGTTTTAGACACCTGAGAAATGAATATTTAGAAAGCTATTTATATGAGCACTAAACATCTACAAGTTTCACAAAACACTAACATTAGAATTAACACAAATAGAGGGAGATTCACTTGAAAGAGCGCCCGAATATTCTGTAATAACTCTCTCGAGGACGAAGCCATCTGAACAAAACAACGTGCAATGTGCTCCTCGGTATATGGAGCTTCGAACAAGCCGGGACGCCCCTGTGTCGGAGCACTGAGGGAGGCGCTGGACAGCCATTGTGACGTCTAACCTCCGTTTGCAACTTCCGGGTGCATACCTCCATACTCCTTCATGTGTCTGGCAGAAAACTGAGATCACTTCCAGCATCTCATGTAATGCAATTGATTATACATACGTCAAGGTATGTAGCATATTTTTTTGGTTCAGGTTGTTTCATCCTAACGGGAGTTACAACAGAATATTTCGAGTGAATCTCCCTAGCATTTATACAATAAGTAGTGATTTTAATTACGTATGTTTGTTTAGCCATTTAATCAAACCATTCCTCATGGCAGCCCAGTACTGTTTTTAATTATCATCCATCACCTGGTTAAGTTCAATCTATACTTCATGCTAAATCAAGTGTGCTGCTAATGCAATTTAACAGATCCATGTGTTGCTTGATGGTATCAAATTAGGAACAAAACTTAATGTTCTTTTAACTAGTTCACAAGTTATCAACTACTTTTTAAAAACTAGATAATTCATCTTACTGTTTACTGTGTTTATTT